ATTAAATAAAATAGAAGATAAATCATGTGATAAATATAACCAATAAGATAATAGAATTAAATAATTAATAAAATTATGATATGTAAAGTCATATTATAACAGAACTCCCAGAGTTAAGAATTTTACTCCATAAAATAAAATAAAATAAAATAATATAATTAAAATTTTTGAGTGGTGAAACTCAAAAGTTCTTGAATTCTACTAACTAATTTGTCATTGTTTTTATAACTTAATTTACTAATTACTGAAGGAGCAAAGTAATTATCTAATCTATTATATTCTAAATTTTCAGGATATTCTGAAAAATATTGATGAATTCTTAGTGCGATCATGACTTTGAATTGAACATTGTGTGAATTTATCTTCTTAATCAACTTTTGGGCTTCTCTACTTGTTCTTATACAGCTCATTCCAAAGGTAAGATCATGGATGATTCTACTCATTTCATAGAATATGACGGTAGATGAATATATTTGCATATTCAACATATCATTATATAATAATGAATATTCAGCTGATAGATATACTGGTGGTCTGGCTTTTACTTCTTCATTTATAGCTGCTTGTAATATTCCTTTAGTAATCTTTTTTTCTAACTCAGTTAATTTGATTAATGGTCCCTATACAACAAGAGATTGTACATCTAGCATTTGAATATCAGGTGTGTTGGTATTGGATAATACAAACTGATATCCATTTGAATCGATAATTAATTGTTCTTCAATATTATATATCTTCATTTGATGATGTAATGTTTGAGTTAATAGAATAATTTGAGAAAGAATATGTGAAGGAATAATAAAGGTCATTTTGGTAAATTTGTGTAATAGAAATTATATTATATGTATGTGAAAGAAATATTATTTTTGTTATTAATGTTGTTATTACTATTTTTTTTAGAAGTGAAGGGGTTACTTATAAGAAAATTTTTAAAGATTTTATATTAACTAAATTAATTAATAAAAGGTATATAATAAATTGGTGTCAGTGTATTTTAAAGGAAGACTAAATCTATTTGAATTCATTGAATTTTTAGATTTATAATTTGATTCAATAAACATACCTAATTTCTAGATTGTAGTATGTAATTCAACTGTTTGTGTGATATCACTTGTGATCCACAAATTTGATTGGTCATAGATCTTTGTGTGTGAATATAATTTATTGTGTGATAGTGTGACAATATTAATTGAATTATCAATTGAAGTATTGTTGGGAATGTTTTTCTTGTTTTTAGAATGCTGAAAACTAGAAATTGAAATACTGATAGGTTGTGTACTTGTGTTATTATTATTTTTACTTGTATTTTTCATAGAAACTGTTGTTTAGTATTAAAACACATGGAAAAATTGTTATTTTTGTTGTTTTTCATGATTTCGTTTGGTTTAATAGGGATGCATGTGTTTTCATGTAATGTTGGGATTTTCCAGTATTTGACAAGATATATGTTCCATTCTTCTAGTGTATTGGGTGAGTTTTTCATTTTCATTTTTGTTTTTGTTTTTAGTTTTTCATCATTTCAGATATTTTCTTCTGGTATTTGAAAAGTGATGATTGATTTTGACGATAATGGTAAATGGACATTTATTTGAGTTCATTTTGAACTTTTCATTTGTTTCTTTTCATTTTTATAGGGCATTTTTATTTTGAATTTCAGGTACATTAATGATGATAAGTGAATATTTATTCATATCTATTTTTCTTTGTTGTTTGTTGTGGTTGTGTGTGGAAGTGAATTTATAATATTATTCACAGTTTTAAACTGTTTATTCTCTGTTTTGTAATGCGTTTTTAATTTTCTTTCAATTATACTGTTTCTTTTTTCTTGATGGTTTTTGGTTGGTGATTACTATTAGTTGGTACCATCATTCTTCGTTTATTTCGGGAGTGGGTGAATGGTATATTTTTCGTGAGAAAGTGTCCATCTCACTTTCTTTAATTCAGAATTTTCAGAGGTTCCGTTCAGATTCTCAGATGTTTCTGATCACATAATACTGACTATGTCATCATTGGTATTCGTATTTCTGATTTTTCTTATTTTTAATTTTTTTATTCCTGAATTTTCTTCATTTGTATTCTGAAGTGGTTCTGGAGACGATCAGTGGATCAGAGTTATAGTTTTCTGATCCGAATTTGTCATTTTTTTTGACTGAATTCTTCTTCTTTCTT